TATAAATTATGTAAATATTTTAAAATAAAATTTTAAATTTATTTATTGATGAAATAAGTTTAAAATAAAATATTTAAAAATATAAATATAAACTACTTAATACTTAATAGTTTATAATATAATTTAAAAGCTAAATAATAATTATACAGATTAAAAAAAATTAAAATAACAATTCAAAAATTATTTTTTATATTATTCTTGATATAAAACACAAATAAATTAAAAAAATTAAAAACTTAAAAAAATAAATTATATAAAATTATTATATAATCAATAATTTCATAATTCCATCCCTTTTATAATTTTATGGAACTATTTTAATAACATTGACTTCCAATCGTATAATTATGTAATATTTTAAATAAAAAACAATAATTATATTGTACAAAATAAAATGTAAATTTGTGTTTACTTTTACATAAGCAACTTGAAGACCACCGCAAATTCCTCTCCTTTTTTCCTGGCACAACGGTCTCTTCTTCTGATCTTCGTTCACCGCGTTTCTCTCGTTCTAATCTCCTTCTCCCTTGTCCCTCTCGATTCTCCCTTAGTCGAAAATTTGAGAGTAGAGCACCGAGCAGGTTTCTTCTGATTTTTCTCTTCAGTTAGCCTTTCTGATTCTCCCCCAATTGAAACGTGAGAAGAGTACTGATTTGGAGAGGTAAGCATCGTACTCTCTTTTCCCTCTAATTAGCATCTAATTTTTGTTGTAAGTTCCTTAATTTTGTAACACAAAAGGAAATTTGTATTACAGTGAGTGTGATGAGACTGTTTTAGTAGGGTTTCTTCTGTCTCTAATTTGGGGACGTAACAAAATTAATGTCATTGCTTAAAGTATGCTGCTTGAATCTTGGAAAGCATTCTCTTATTGCTCTGTCTTCTTATTAATAACGAGCAGCATCAGAATGTTGAGTTACAAAATTTTAAAAGACAAAGTATAATTGAGTAAAACTTTCAATTGTTGATAATCATATGAGTTCTTAAAGCTGTAGGCCTTGTGAGTTGCTAATCAAAATCAGCAGTTGTGCTCTTATCAGGTCAATTATTCTATTAATTAAATTTATATAATTATATATTTAAATGACTGCTATACTGTTCAATAGCAGCTGCTTGGCTATCTGTTACACTATCATAGCGGATTTTTGCCTTCTTGCTATTGGCTGCTATAACGCCTTAGGTGATCTATCCCACTTCACTGGGCTTTGACTTAGTTGTACAATTTAAATTGCAAACTAATTGAACCTATAACAACTTCATCCTAACATTTTGGGGAATGGATAGACTCAAGGAGCTCCCCTAATTCTAATTCTAATTGCAATTCTAATTCCAATTCTAGTTCTAATTCTAATTCCAATTCTAGTTCTAAAATACCTTTAATGAAATAATATAAGAAATAGTTTTATTAAGGATATTTTAGTAAATTTATA